CGCATTTGCGTGTCAATGAAGGTGGCTGGGTGGTAGTGAGTAGCCTGCATCACCAATATCACTGGCGATATTATCGACTAAAATTAACGAGTCACAGTCACAGTCACTTAGAAAGTTGACGCACATGGGACTTCAATTCCAGGTTGAGATAATCACAGAACATGATATCAACGTATCGATGTGCAAGAGTCTGGTGTCACGAGGGTGCAAGACGTGGTGCTTGTGGTGTAGGGACTCGAACATACCTCGCAATCGACCTGTCATTGGTTGACATCCAAGGAACCTCGAGATCTCGATCAGGTATTGTATTCTCGTAGTTTGGCAGTGTGTATCGATAAAGCATGCATTTGTGGTGCAAATGATTAATGCGTGAATGATACCAATCAACGATTTTAAACTCCAGTCAAAGCGACGTCTCCCAGTAATGCCAGTCTGAGTCGTGTAGAGCTGCAATCATTTCGCCATCAGATGAATCAACTACTAGACCCACTGTAGTACCGCACCAGGGCGCAGACATATTGGATCACGCCGAGCCCAGCCAATCCTCTGTCTGCCGGCGTTCACATGACCTACATTAAGTGCCACCAGAAGCCAACCAGAGATAGGGACACATAAGCATCACTATACAATGAGCGGTGCAGGTTGCGTGGAGGAATCAGTCAGCCCAAGCGATTAGGCGATTCATTGGCGAGACGTTTAACGTGAGTCACCGTTAGTGGTGTCCCAGGGGGTTGTGGTTTTGTGTTGGTCACGATTAAACATTAATCATTGTGTAAACATTCCTGCCACGGCGAGTCCGCCACCGTAGACTTATTAATGTCCAAAAACCCGAAAAGAATAACAAGCTTTTTACAAGTAGAGCGCATATTTTACGATTGAGACAATGCTGTATCCTCTTGAGTTAGCCCACAAACCCATGTCAAATTGTGGAAGGAGAGATCTCAGGGATCTCTGACGATCCACACGCAAAACTCCAATCACGTATGAGCAACCATGAATCAAGTCGATTAGCTGCTACGACTTTACCCGGTAGGCTGGATGCAATAGTTGGATCTCATTGCTTGTTACTTAGAAGGCTTTGCGTAAACCAAATATTCAAGCACAAGATAGAGCCGAAAGCGGGAGTCGAGTGAATGCCCAGATGCACCCACTTACATATGATTGGTCGATCTGAGATAAATGAGTTGAGTAATTAACATTAAGTGATGATTTGCTGGTGTAAAAAACGGTGTAGCGTGACTGTTGAGTTGTAGTTAAGTGAACATAGCTAACTGCACAGAGGTCACAACTCACTGTAATAATTTGGGGAATGTCGACGCATTTGACATTATCTTGAATCCACTTAACGTATCGACGGCGACCAGCACACGAGCATTCTTGATCCTCGCTGTCTCTAAGGAACATCTAAAGCACCTTCATTCTGCGTCCCAACTTCTCACCAAAACGGTTGAGTTGTCAATCATTTGATCTGTCATTTCTTTGAACTACGTAGCACCTACACACACTAATCCGATGTCATCATCAGCCACGTTGTCTTGCTGGATGGTCAACTTTTGGACCTTGATGGGGTTTCGCAGAACACAGTTTCAAAGACTTTACATCGTCGACGTTGCGGTGTGGAGGAGGAGTGGGGAGTTTGGTGGGTGCATCTGTGACAAAATCTAGAGAAACAGGGTTTCAGGCAAATCGGTGTGCCTGTTAAACCGATTTCCTTTAGCCGCAGAATGTAAATAAACACAAGTGGCAAGCTAATCGTTGTGAGACGTTCATGGTTTGGTTGTTCACTGAGTACAAAGATGTGCAGTGGCAGCTTCAGCAGTGTTTTGTACTTCGAATTTGATAGAATCAATAAATCGATTGGCCGGTAATCGACAAAGCGGTCTACACATTTGTCCTTATATAAATCAAGGCACGGAATTAGTAATTAGCCAGGCACTGTAAGTACCGATTCACCATTTCCTCCAATTGAAATGTCGTCTTCTTTGACATTGCCACCCTGCAATACACCAGAAATCAAGTCACCTGCATGCGTTTATCATTAGATAAATCGATTTTATCAATTTGTTTGTGGACTCCTTTCCTAATTTTGCATATAAACGTCCTCCCGATTCACTAATTATGCCCAATTTAGTCAAATCGACAGTAATAATGTGAGGCGCTTTGGCTAGCTCTTATCACTCATCAAGCAACCAATTTTTTGGTTGTTTAAATGGCTTCCAGTGACCTTGGGAATAAGCGCTTAATCAACAATCCAATCAATTCTGCTCATTAGCGCGTTTAGCGTTCTACTCAAAGCGGCACCAAATATGAGGCCCTGAGAAACCGCTTTTTGCATTTTTGATGGCAGTCTCCTGATTAGGCACGCACACCCACAGCCCATCTAAGGCAAATAGCTAATTAACTGAGAGACCAATTACCAAACTGTTCTGTCGTCTTCACCTTAGAGATCGGACGTGATCCGGAAAAAGTTGCCTTCGAAACCATTAAACTAGACAAAGAAAAAAAAATCATCCACAGAGGCATCTTGCTTGTGAACAGAAAAAAAAGTTTGCGAACATTTCAGACAGGAGTTGGGTTTGAGAAGGACTTGGGCAGTTTTGCCTCTCTCACGGAGATTCTGCGACTGTCAGAATTTCAATTTAGCGCCAAAGTGATGTGGCACAGCAATACCAATTAGCGTTTGACATACACACAAATTCTGTTTGAGGAAAATGATTGCGCATTTGCTTACTTGTGTGGTGAAAAAAAATTCGCCGTGGAACAGCCTCTGCCAAGGGAATGGGAGTGCATTCTACAGGCGTCACTTCAGTTTTGTTTGTTTAAACCATGGTTACCAAGGCTACCACATTTAACTTGTTTCTAGGCTGCAATGTGCAAGCAGATTTTCAAACCACTTTCGAGGAAAAGGCAGATGAATTTCATGTTTGTGGCCAACACGTGTTTAGGCATATTAGTAAAGGGAGAGCGCTATTAAGATCGATAGCACGTACTAGTAAGGACGAGCCAATAAGACGGCGGCGGTCGATATGAAAATTTTAAAATTGTGTGCATGTACACTAATCAATCGTTCGTATGCATATTTCCAATAACCAATGCTGAATCGGTCTAGAGGGTCTTTTAATCCCTGATCTGTGACAATTTTATTGTTTTAGCTGTTAGTAGGGGAGGTTGCTAAATATAACATTATGGTAGATAACACAGAGCAAACAATGTGGGCGGTGAGGCTGCTACTATTCCCAGTGCATGATTTAGTGTCATTCCCGAAAAGGTAAATATTGGGTACAGTCCCTTAGATAGCGCTTTGCCCTGTTTGGCTAAATTCGGTGGTGTTGACTATATGATAAGACTCATGTCTAGTAGCGACTTGGGATTTAATTCAACAAACCACGATAACGTGTTATCGTGTTGTAGCAGTTTTAAGATTGCCATCGTGGCTATTGCCACTTATTTCCTACTCAGATTTCTTTTGCCAAAATGATGTGGTTCTTGATAAAGTTTCTTTTTTTAACAAAAGCCTAACTTCAGACTAAAACTCAGGCAATTTTGTTTTACTACACTTGGAGACTCATGGCTAATTTAAAAACACGTAAGCACGAAGTTGATTTCTTAAAACATCTGCGAATTTCCTCTCTCTCTCTCTCTTCTAAAGTGCAAACTTGTTCGGCGGACGAAGATCTTCACACTGATTGGTCCGACAGAGGATCATGTTCAAGCTCTCACCTCTGACCCCGTGACGGGATTTTTGAAGCAACAGGTGCCAAGATCTCGTGTGAGGGACTTTTACTGCGAAATGACCTTCATTGCCGGTTTGAACGCTTTGCGATGGTTTTACCTTAGAAAAGGGGATGTGCACTGCTAATTACAGTGTGTTAATGAACTCGGCCGAGGAGCTTGCCAGCGGTGAACAAACTTGTGTGTGTTTATGAAAATTACGCGAAAATCTACTCCTTGATTTGAGCGGCAGGCAGGGAGGAAGCATTGAGAATTTGTGGAAAAAACCCACGGTGAACGCACTCGTAATGAGATGCTTGAATTCACAAAAAAACCATGACCGTAAATCATGGGAAACGGGCCGTTACGGGTGCCTAGAGTTCTTGTCAGTGTTTTGTGTTGATTTGAACAAGGCAAAATCGTCGATAGATATTAACAACACCGCTAATTCACGCGGATAGTATCGCAATGCAGCAAGCGCCAAACCAATCTCGTTGTGGCGGATGTTGAGATATCGGGTGATGCGAACATTAGCCAGAATAGGAGCGAAATTGGAGATTAAAAGTACAAAATCCAAAAGTACATCCATATCGAACCCAGGTTCCCAAAAATCTACATTCTATCACGAGAGAGCTTCTCAATTTGCAAATATCAGACAAATTCAATTCCTTCTCACCTATGTTTGACCAATACATCATTTACAACAGAAAACGCATTAAACTTCCTGCCTTCGTTGCGAAAAATTTGGGATTGGTTTGCTTGTTTAAGTGTACTGCTTTGGAGTAAATTTAAATTCATTCCGCACATAAACAGCACCTTGTTTTATCGTCTGGAAAAACACCCACAGATCAAACACGCAATAAACATCGAATGCGGTTCCCGATATTCTTTGTTTTAATCACCGAGAATAACTGGAGTTAATGACATACGTTTAACGACGAATGGATCCGACAATGTAACTTGTATCTACTGAGTGTCCGCAGTGGAACACCGCTCACAAGTCGATCGAAATTCGAGTGCGGTATTCCGATAAAACAAAGAGACGGCGGGATTTGAAACAAGGGTGATTGATTGCGTCATGCGTGTAAAGGTTAAATACACGTAAATTCCTTTTCGCAGGATTATTGATTTTTATCAGCCAACCAGTTGTTTTAATAAAAATACGAAAAAATCAATAAATTGACGAATGAAAGGGTGGGATTATGGTTAGAATCTGACTTGTTAGTTTACAAATTATAACCAAAGATGATAAATCGATATCCAAGATACGTGGGGGGTGTAATCAAACACTAATCGCACTTCTGCAGGCAAAGGGACATCAGCGGAGACGACAATCTCTTTGGAAACTACAGAACGTGAGCACACATCAAATGCACAAAATCAATTGTACTGGAATGCCGTGGACTGTAAACGAGGACACTCACCATCCGTAGGATCAGAGTTGAAGCATCCATCTGCCACGGTCCAAACAAGGGGAATGATGGCGCCACAACCGCGACACCAGATCGGCTGGGAGAATCTGCCTGGAGAACTGATCTCTCCAAATTATCTGCACCTCTTTAGAGAGACTTGAGGACCTTCTTGACAATCAGAAATACCCCTGTTCATCAGTGCTTTCTTCCACGAGTCCGTTTTAGCTTAAATGAATATTGACTCGCGGAACACTTGTCCTTGTAGCAGGGCATGCTGGTATACGACCTTCGTTTACGTTTTTTTACCATTTCCGATTCTTGCCCACCCATCATCCGCAGCACGTTGAAGCGAAGCCGCGTAAACACATCCTCTGCTCCGTAATCTGCCCAGTTAGAGAGCGACGCCTATTTCTTAACAAAGTGTGTGTGTGTGACCTGATTACCCTACCTAGCCGGCAAATAGTATGTGTGATTTTCGTGTGTGTAGAGGCCACTATTATACCAAATTCACGTGTGCAAACACTCAGTTTTCATTTTCCTTAAACAAATCATTGTACTTGCGAGTATTTATCGCAGGATCACTTCATAATTTCAGAGATTCATGCTGCTTCACTGAAAGATTCTCAGGAAATCGTTCTTTGCACAAAAACAGTACATCCTGTGGAAGGTTTGACGACGAGAGTGCCTTTATCTAGTGACGATTTTATCGGAGAGAAGGAATTATTTAAATTTGGTGTGTCTTTTTCACTTGTGATGAGGATGATTCACCAGGTCCCACCTTCACCCACCACCACCTTCTGAAAATCAATATTTTCAAGATCAAGGTCTCTGTTAACATACAAGCTATGTTACTTGAATAGATCCATCAGCGGCACTTCGGGATGAACTAGAGTTGGCTATAGATATCCGTCTGTTGAAGTGGTGGGGCTTAGAAGACGTAGCAGTCAAGCATGGTCTTAAATCCCAAGCTACAGACGGAAATAAAGATAAGAGGCGGGAGAAATTCACATGACATCTACGAAATTAAGCCACTTGCGCACCCTCGCACTGGTGCTGGAGAGTTCTGAAATTCGTCTTGTGTTTATGGCGCACAGACTTGGTTATTCCCATTGACTAAGCATCATCTGGAGTGCTTTCTGGCGTGGTTCTGTCCAACTATCAGACCAAATTGCGACAGCTTAGAAGTCATTCCGAACTGCTGTTCGGCTTCTTGATTCTACTGGGTTGTTGCAGGCGCCTTTCCATGACGATGATCCGTGAAAGTTGATCATCCCTCTACGCTCTCCAAGTGCGTCTTCCTTTAGCTCGATGGGGTTGGTGGGATACTGCCAGCACGGTTACGACCCTGACGTCTTATCGAAGTGAACGATACCTTCAGGGTTCGAACTTTGATGCGATTTTGTTCCTTTGCATTTACCCAGAAACTTGCAAGATATGTTTTTGTGGCAGGTACGGAAATCTCCTCTCGCTTGTTCACGCAGACGAACTACGAAAGTCAACTGCCGAGATTCTTTAACTAATAGTAGGCTATTCCGGATTCGTCATCACTTCTTGGTGTTCAACTCATCTAACACTTTCCAGGGGTGTTGGGGTTAAAATTAAAAAAAGTCAACTCTAAACTTAGTCAATGAGAAGGAAATTCTTAGTGAATTGCGTCGCCGCATTAAGACCAAATTAACTGGCCTTTAGTGTGTCCCAAAGCCTACTGACTAAGGTGGGTGTGAAAGTGGCAACGACGTGGTAGTTTCTGTTTAAATCAGGAGCTGATACACTTGCACCATGGCAACCACGGCTTGGCTAATTAAATACAGGTAGTTAATGCAGCCAGCGGGGGACTTTAAAGGATAGCTTCGCCTATTCTACCTAAGTCCCGCCCCATGTTATATTCACTTTGTAACTAAACAAAGAAAAGAGGTGCCAAAAATGGAGTATATCGTAAACCACCACCACCACCACCACCACAGTAAAACAAATTGAAGAATTTCGTGGAAGTTCCAGACCAAACCTTTCGTGTTATTGACGAAGGCGCTTTTTCGCAGCGACATCGACTGGTTTATTGCACAGATATTTTTAGTGGAACGTCACATTTTTGGACGTCAAAAGAAGCTGTTACTCCTCAAGTTGCTTGGCGTATGGGAAATTTGATTGTCTGTGTGGGCTTCCTAACATAAATTGCATAAAACCAGCACCCGACGTCGGTCGATTTTTGTTTCCGTTTCTGCTGACTAATGCGGAGCCCATCAACGTTACACACCCACGCACCACGTCGCGTAGCAGTCGTGGTTGTGTTCCCGCTCTCAGCTGTGTCCGATGGGGCAGTTTTTCAAGCCTAACTTCCTTGGACTCTACAATGGTGTCTGAATCACCAAGAGAAGCGGTACCATGAGGAATTAGAGTCTTAGAGGGACATAAACACTCCCCATTTTGGCGCAGGTGATGCTGGTTCCGGCACACCGCGACCCCACAGCATCACACGTTCTTCAATTGGTGGGATGCTGCTGTTATTGGTGGTGGTGGTGGTTGTGGTGGCATCACTCTGAGGTCAAAGTATTGGCTTCACTCAACAACCTCAGCACAGTTGCTTCAAATCAGACTTGCCAAAGTTGAGGTGTTAGTTAAATGCTAGGGAGCCTCCAAAATATCATGATTTCAGGACGAATCAATGTAAATCAACCTAAAATTGAACACCACGACTGCTATTTGACGTAAAAGGCTTTAAAGTTCATTTTTGGTGGCCTCGTAATTGAGTTTTGCCCAGTATGTTCTCTTCTCGATGCCGCATGCCATGTTTTTAAAACATCAAATGTGGTACGCGTTCAGTTCAGACCACAACAGCCAGGTCCAAAATTTAATTTAAAAATATTGCTTGTTTTAATAAGTTCTTTAACCCCAACGAAGAGTTGAAGCGCCAAAATCGAGCAGCAAAGAGATGATGGTTTAAGGGGGTTGCAATTACGGTCCGAAGAGTTTACTTCCAACCTTCTAAACCCCTTCACGACTAAGATTTACAGTTCTCGACAGCTGACCTTCCACTATTACTGGAGAACATTACGCCCCATGCTCACGTTTAAGCTTGAGCCTTAGAAAAAGTACTGAAAGAGTGTAGGTCACCAAACAGCCATTCAACCAATCAAATTAGACTCAAATGGGAGATGCATAATGTGCATAAACGGTTGTTTTGAAGTAAAACCGGAGTGTGGTGAGCTGCGTTCCGGTGACATTTTGACGCCTACCGCAAACGCTATTCACCTGTGACAGGCGAGGGGCATTAACTCCGGCAAAAAGTGCCTTCCACGGGCTAACAGGAAACGCCAACGCCCGGCCTAGTGGTGCCGGCGAGAGAGCGTTTTCATTAGCGGCGAGCAAGTGGTGCCACCATGCTCTCGGTTGCCCCGATGTGGGACTCGAACCCAGGTTATGCTCATTGGAAGCAGTTAGCCTAACTACTTGAGGGACTAGAGAACAAAGAGGAGGAGGCCGGACAGTGAGTGGGCCCACGTTGCCTCCGTATTCGTCTGAGAGACGCTAGCTGGGGATTAAGTAAGGGGACAATTCCTCAGCATATTGACGCCCTTCTATAGGAGTTCCACGGTTGGGTAGTTCAACAGAGAACCATCACAACGATTTCAAAACCAATTAAGATCGGTTGAATTTGAATAGCACTGTCAAGATTCATGATTGGTCAGTATTTTTGAAGTGACGCAGAGATCCAATCATTGTATATTGTCAAAAGCCCCCTTCCTTAGAGAAAGCTAGGTAAATATTGGCAAATAGTGTGACCCCATTACTCCGATTGTCACGTGTCCTGCGTTTCTCTCCAATTTGCATTCTCCTGAGCGTTTTTCACAACGTCTTCTCCATGAACCCTCAAGCACACACTTCCACAACCACGTCGGCACATTTCGTCCACAAACTATGACATCACTTAACGTTTTACTGACATTGCAATTACCAGCGGCTACGCCTTGAAATAGACTGATCTTGTGCAGAAACCGTCTATTTCTTGAAATGAACGTCGTTTCCTAACATTCTCTACTTTACCATATTCATTGGGAGTTAATCAACTCCATTACATTCTCGAAGTTCAACAATGGGGAACATGATGGAGGTCGAGGTGGGCATTCGGGCGGATAGCGACCTGACTCTTCATCTGGTGATGACGAGAACTGGATACCACGCAGAGCCTCAGAGGAATGCAGCCCGACTCGATTCCTATTCCCTGGTGGCCGCCAGTCACCCGCTCCGTCCCACCCACCACCACCACGTCAGCACACGCAAAATGCTCTCGTTTGTCGTGACTTTTAACAAATGTGATCTCCATCGTCATTAACCGGTCCCTGGGGCATCAAAACGTCCCAGCCGGCCGGTGGTTCAATCAAACGACGATGGTGGCGACTGCAATGAAGGGCAGTCCACTTCAAAGACTTCTAAAGGAGCCACAAATTCTTTCTGGCATTGCTTACTCAAAATCATCTCAACCGCAGCTGATTCCATGAATACACTGAAGAGTGTCTCAATGACATCAGTAAAAAAAGCATCGTCCATCGCTGGCTCGCACCACATGTATGCATTTTGAACTCAACCTTACCAAAACGAGCTCATGTAGTCGTCTACCTAACCATGGGGCAGATCAGTAAGGCTAATCTCTCTTTTTGGGGAAAAACCATTCTTTGACGTAGGCGAAAGTATTCACAAGATATCTTCAAACCCACTACCGCCACACTAGCCACAACCATTCCCAAACAATTTACGACTTTGCAACGTGAATTCACGATACAATCGAATGCACGATTTTCCACAAAACACCCAGTGGCGTTGTCAAAGAGCAAAATACCCACTTGGTCATCTAAAATGCTGCTGTCATTGTGCCGAAAGACAGCTCGTTAATATTTCATCCACCTCGACTCACCACGCTCTTCCTGGTGGTGTAGGTTTGTCACCACAGACGACGTCCAGACCTCGACACACTACGCGCAAATATCAGTGACCTGCTCTTTGACAACCATTAATGTCTCTCACTGTGCTAGTGCCATAACGAACTCTTTTTTGAACACCCGATGGCCACAATCGCCGAGTTGAAGAGGTACATTTCGTACAAACAAACTTGCCTTTCCTGGGGTTAGAGAGGGCGCCTTCACAAATGCTCGCAGACAGTGAACACAGTCGAACGAATCACGCCACGCCTCACAGCACTGCTCGCACCTCCAA